CCTTGCCCCTGCTTCAAAGCAAACGCACAAAAAATAGAGAACAGCAGGAGGAAAAGATGGGGCTCAGATTCCTTGCACTCCTCTCACAGGTGGTGCTACTGCTAACACTGGCACTGTGCAATAAAAACATAATCGAACTGAATTATCAAATAAACACCTTCCAAGGGAACAACGCAAAATGGAATAAGCTAGGACACTTTGTATTGAGCAAAAATCAAATTTTCAACACCTCAAATGCTTATGAACAAGAAAAGGATAAACTCATTGAGCAGTTACGCAAACCAAATTTTGATTACGTCCTATTTCAATTATGTGACGACGCAAATAAGAAGACGTGTATACAAACATATGTAGGAAAAAAGAAAATTCAAAACGTCGATGATTTTTTCCTACTTATAGGATTAAATAATAATTACTTGCCCTATATTTTAAACTACAGAACGAGTGAAGAGTTGGAAGAAGACACGCAAATATTCTCTGGCATGTTGGCTGTTAAAGTTTTGTCCGTGTCTGTGCCCATCACCATGGCTACCTTGAAAACGGAGGAGAATGTTGCCAAGCCAAAGGCGAAGTCGAATGAGAAAGATAAGGAGAAGCCGAAATCTTTTATTCGCAAGTACTGGATTTATGTGGCCATATTTTTCTTATCCTTGTCTATATCGAAGCACTTCACGGAGAATATGCAGCAGGGAGGGGGGCAGATGAGAGCGCCGACTCCCAGTGAATAGAAACTCTCCAGCAGTTATCACTTCGGCTGCGTGTGTGTAAATTTGCGGGACCGCTGTGGCGTTTTATATGCGTTCGCGTTGTCGATTTATATTCGTTCGCTTTGGCGATTTATATTTGTTCGCTTTGGCGATTTATATTCGTCCACCTTGCGTTATTCTTTTTTTTTTTTTTTTTTTTTTGTTTTTCAAAATGACCTTCCACACTTTCCTTTGTCACCCTTTTCATTTCCCCTACGCTGAGACCAAAGAAGGGAGACGTGGAAGGTGGCCGATTGTCGACACGGCTTGTGCCCACTGTGTATACATTCGAGTATTCTCGTGAGACCAATTTTTTGTGATAACAAAATGGTAGCTTCCCCAAGGGGACCTTCTCCAATTTTGAACCCTTCAAAATGGTTAGCAGCAGCGTGGAGAGAGAGAAGGAACATCTCAAAGTGCATTCCGAAATGGAACGCCAAAACTGCGGGCCCGACGCAGTGCCCCTATTTAAGGGTAGTCAAACCGCATCGCGCACAAGACAGAGGGCGCGCTTTGTGAGTAGGAGTGTGAAAGACAGTCAACCGGGATGATGAAGCATGTAGCTTTTATTTTTTCCTAATTTATATATTTTTTCTCCATCACTCCACATGTGTAGAAGTACCCATGACCCGTAACGCACAGTGTGTGTGCTGCAATATTTTGTGAAAGTAGCTGATACGAACCCCCTATGTGTGCGCATCTAACGGTTCGATTGGAAGAGCTAGCCAAAATTGGCGTTATAAAGAGCGTCTTCTCCATTGCTGCTTCACCCTGCGTGGTGCCAACGTGCAGAGTTATCTGCCTTCATGTGTAGATGAAAATTTCAAAGGTGAATCTCATGCTGTGCATATGAAAGAGTCCCTCAAAAAAAGTGAATTTAAAAAAAAAAAAACAAAAAGAGATAGAGATAGAGACAAATACAGCGGGTCAATCGGCTAAAGGGGTGAAAGCAATGATGCACGAACGAAGGAGTAAACCCTTACGGTAGACAAATTAGAATAACAGAGGGAGGTGTACAACGAGCTCGGCGACGAAAGGAGCATCAAGGCGGAGAGTCGCATGTGATAGCGGTCTCTTCGGCTTTAGGTGCAGACGGCGCATGCGTAGGCATACGCGCATATGTGAGTGTGTAAGTACCTACGTGCGCTCCGCTCGTGCCAGCTGTGAAAGGGGTGTGGACGGCGAACGGAAGGAAGCAACGGGGAAATTTTTGCGTAAAAATTAGGGGCAAAGCTAAAGACACCCTTAGAAACGTGTTAAGGGGCAATCCCCAAGGGACGAACAACGCCGCACACTGCTACCGCCCGGCGAACCGACGCGATGAGCAGGGCCAGGGCGGTGAGTGGCCTGCTTTTGTACGGCGCGCTGGTCGTGGCCTTCCTGGCCAGCTACGGTGGCGTGAAGCGGCTGCTCGGTTGGGGAAGCGGCGCAGTGTGGAGTGATGAATACGGCTACTTGACAGATGTATGGAGAGGTCGTGGGGAGAGCCAAGCACTTTGTTTGTTGCTGAAAATTTGGTGTAGGAACAAGGGAAAGGTGAACGAAGAGGGGAAGGGGATGGAAAATCATGCAGGACTGTTACAAAGAATAAATATGAACAAGGTGAGGAAACTTTCAGACGATGACACAAATAAGGATCTGTTACCATACGTTAATACGATAGGTGGTAACTACACAGTGGTGAATCTGTTTGACTATTTCGTTAAGGGTAAAAAGAGAGACAATGGAAAGAATGAAATATTCGTAAATCATATTATGACTTTACACAGGATTGTGGTGATATGTTTCAAGCCGACTCTAAATTTTTCTCACATCATTACCCAACCTAGTGATGCCCTGTACAAAATAATAAAGGAAGGTGAAGGAGAAATATTGACAACGAAAGATTACCCTGTTTTATTTTATGCAGATGAGGCTAGCTGGGGGTTGAAAAATGTTATGTCTACTGGAATCATTGAATTCTTTGCACCTCCATTTACCAGAGAGGTGTCTGACATAGTGATTAGATGTGCTAATACAGAAATAAATGAGACGTATACATTTGAAGATGTGATTAAGGTCCGTATTAGAATCCCTCGTAGTAGTGAAAAAATAGTAGGCCTGAGTACAGACCCTATGGACGCAGAATTTTTCGAAAGAATTGTAGATGAAAATGTAGATGATTATAAATTTGGGAGTTACAAAAATCGCGTGTTAGGGTTCAAATTGGCAGATGCAGAATTAGATCCTGAAAATTGCTTCAAAGTGGTTAATGGAAAACAAAGGGATATTGCTCTCGAAATTGAATACCAATATGGTAGATGTTTGATTTTAGATAGACCTGATTTTAAGCTTCGGTATTTTTATGTGAATGATGAAAACTTTGAAGATGAATTTGAATTTTCTTGCTCTTTTACTTATAAGGGGAAAAAGAAGAAAGCCACTTTTGGAGACGCAGAGGTGAGTCCAACGACAAAAACATACTTTATAGAACCAGACAAAAAAGAATTCCAATACTTTAATGGAGTTCCTTACAAATATTGCCACTTTGAATATAATGATGACAAAAAAAGGTCCACACAGGTGTGTGAAAGGACTATAAGCGAGTTTTCTCTTTTTATGTATAATTGTGAGGTGAAGAAGGCTAGGGGGGTTGTTATTGATGAGCCGATCAAGACGGTGAAATATTTAAATGGGACTCAGCCTCTGGAAAAATTTAGCGACATCACTTTATTCTCCGATGATATACATATAGAAGATTTGAGATGGAAATTTCCAGACTACAAATATTTCATGACCGCCTATATCAACCATGGCCCACATCCCCTGATCATTGAATGTGTTATTCCTAATAAAACTAACGACAGTCATCAAAAGGCTCATATTCTACTGCACGTAAAAACAAATTTAAAAGACAATACAGTCTCCTTCTGTGATTTTAAAAGCTCTAGATTATATGACTATTTGAATGCATATATTAAAGGAGATGTATGTGAAATTAATGTAACTTCGAATAGCAGCTTTGGGTTTAGGTGTCCTGATGGAACAGTGAAGAAGCCAAGTTATTGTTTTACCGAGTTGTACTACCATGGGTATCTTTACCGGTTAGGAGATATTTTTGCTCAGAATATTGTTATATATTCTTATAAGGACCCCAAATTATCCCTAGCAGCTTTTACAAGTAGCCTGACCAGGTCCTACTCTTTCCAATGCTACTGTGTCCAGGAGGATGATCAAGATAAAATAGAAAAGAGAGTAATTGTGAATTATATAAATGAAGACCAATTGTATGATTATAATACTATTCCGAAGGTGAAATACGAATCTATCGTATCGCATCCGATGAGGACTCACGTGTGTGATTTCATGGGAAGCAATTCTGTCCTTAAGCCAACAAGGAAAAAGCCAGTGAACTACATTTGTGAAGTTTTTCCAAAGCCCATGGAATATATCGCCATGATCTGTCCTACCAACCTAATCGATGAGCAGAATGAAAAACTGCTTTCAGATCTTCTATACAATTATGGCAACCCAGGAATAAAGGAACAAATTAGAGCCTTTGGAAAAAAGAGAAACAACTACTCTAAGTCCTTTCACCTTCCGAAGAAAGCTCCCGCCTACGTCATCAATCGTTATATGCAAAATGTAAAGAGCATTGACGAAATGATTCCGGGGGTTCTCATCACAGATACGGTTCGTATTAAAATAGCTAGAATGAAAAAAACGGATCGACAAGGAGGAGGAGAAGGGGTGGAAGACGCATCGCTACCACCAGACGAAAACGATGAAATTAATCAAATGTACGCAAGTCATTTAGGACTCCCCAACAGTATTCACCACGGACTCTTTATCTTTCAACTCCCGCCTTATATAAAACGAAATGCTGTCATCGAATTTGCCTGCATAAATGATAAAACGAAAAAAATGGGTAACACGGGAAACAACGGTATTATGTCTGTGCACCTCAGGACGGAGGGAAGGGTGGTTCCCGGGTGCCACTTTTACAAAAACAAGGAAGAGAATAGTATTTTGAAGAAAAAAATAAAAGTGGGTTCTTCTGAAGATTGCGTCGTGCAAAGTAATGGAGAAATTGACTACATAGGAATATTTTGTCCTATACAAGAAGGGTTATATTTGACCCCCCCAGGATGTTTTGAAACAGCATATAACAGCTCCGATGAACTTGTGCACCTCAGCAGCTATGACAAGGACTTTAAAAATTTCACCAATAATAAAGGTGTCTCTTACTTGAAGATACCACAAAGCTTTGTCGGCCATCTGAACATATTTTGCTACTGCAATGAGGAAGCTCCCTCACTATCGGAAGGGGAGGAGGAGGAGGAGGGGCGTGCCGGGTTATTAATAGGTCCTCCAAAAAAGGAGAACAAAATGAACATCGAGCTAAATACATCCAATAGGGGAATCAAGAATGTACAAAAAATAGACCACCTGTACGAGTCAGACTTTCTTATTGGAAACGAATTTGTCAATAGGAGACCATCACCCATAATGAGAAAGAAACACATTTGTGACTTTACGAGGGAAGACAGTTCGTTGGCTCCCCAAGACGAGTTGCCGGCCATCAACTCCTGCTTCGTCGAATTGGAGGAAAACCTGAGCCTCGTCGAGGTGCGCTGCCCCAGGAACGTCAATCCGCCTGCGGCCGACCGCTTCAGCAGTGGGATTAGCACGCGCAGTGTTGGACTTCGCAGCGTTGGAATGCGTAGCGTGGGAGGTGTTACTCGAATGGCGGGCCGAAATGGGCTCCATGGGGCTGCCTTACCAGAGGAGGATCAACTCCTGAGCGAAGAAGAGCTGAGCAAGTACAAGAACATCAAATATGTACCCGACGAATTCGAAGACGTAATACATGTGAGCAGAAAAAAAAAATTGTCCGACATCCTCCCAGGAACGATAATCCTAGACCGAAGTAAAAAGTTTAAGGAAAATGGAAAATTTACATTCATCACTCCACTCATAGTGAAGGACGATATAATCATAAAGCTCTTATGTGACAACTCAGAGACAATGATTGAAAATAAAAAAGGAAAAAAAGGAGTAGTCGTTATAAAAATTCCTAAGAGAGTAACACAGAAAAGATTTTATGGGTGTGATTTTTCAGGAAATTCAAATAAGACCTTTTACTACTCCGAGGTGCATTCTTTAAAAAATTCAAACAAGGAATGTCACATCAAGTTGAAGGAAAATATTATTGTCAGTTTGAATTGCCCAAATGGAAAAATTAATCCAAACAACTGTTTCCATAATGTATATATAAAAAGTACCATGGATCAAGAGAATGTTGAAAATGTTGAAAATATTTTTAATGATGTGAAAGTAATTAATACAAATTACTTGTTGAAAAATTCTTCAGCTTTTTTGATCATATCCAAAATGAGTAATACGAAGGATCTGAATTTTTACTGTACTTGTGAAGATTATGAGAGTAAGAATGTGGGAACTATATTTCTGAACCTGCCTCAGAACCCGTCTTCTACATCTAAAGAAAATTATACTTTGGAAAAAAAGCTAGTTATTGATGTTCCCCCATATTATGCAAAAGACACTTACGTTTGTGATTTTACTGAGCAACATTATAATATTGTAAATCGATCTAAGGTAGACTTGGACAAATTATTGAAAAGGTACTTACAAGATATTCTCTCCTATGAACATAATGAATTTACACACTTTAGTTTAAATTTTAAATTGAGGAAGGAAATAATGAAGAAGCAGTACATTGCGTATGTTAAGAAGCAGATCCAGCATTATCAGGAGAATGTCCCCGATGTGGAAAACTACCCCGACCACACCATCGTCTACAAGTGTAACATCGATTTGAGTGCCTTTGACAAATTTTCAATCAAGTGTCCCTCTAGGATGGAAAATGTTCCTGCAAAGGGAGGACGCCCACTTAGTACACCACGTTTCATATACACATCCAGTCTGGGCAACGACTCCATTTCCTTGGTGAAAGGATTGAACAGCCTTCTCTTCGGAACCATCATTGTTAACAAAACAAATGAACAGAACGTTTCCTTTTTCGAAAAAGGGGAACTCGAACTTATTATATCTCCCTATGCTGACTCCTCAAAGAATTTTAATTTCTCCTGTGAGCACATTGGAGAAAACGGAACAAATCGCGTCATCGGTTATGCTTCCATTTTTGTAAAAAAAAATAATAATAAAATTTTGGGTTGTGATTTTATAGACCCTTCAGATGTTAGTAACCAGGTCCATCACTCCTCCACATCTGACACGAAAGAAACAAGTGGAGTGAACAATACATATAAAAATAACTCATTTGAATTTGAGATAGAACTCGTGGAGGGAAAAAATATATACTGTAATATTGAAGCCATAGAAAATGATGTGGTTGGTTTTAGCTGCCCTCATAATTTCCTCACTGCCCCTGAAAATTGCTTTGAGTCGGTGCAGATCGAGGGAGTAGACAAGGAGTTAGAAACACATAAGCTAGAGAAACTACTAAAAGGAGTACACATTCTTAAAAATAAAATATATGATGTGAATTATACCCCATCTTATATCATTCTTCCGAAGAAAATACCCAAATCGATGAAAATTTTTTGTACATGCAATTCAGTCAAGAGGATAAAAACAGGCATTATTCAAATTAATATCATTGGGGATGATTTGAATAACTGGTTCAAGAAAGAGATCACTCATCATGTTTTCGCGTTTGAACAGCCCAGCTACTTTTATGACTTTTCTTCTGGGCCACTTAACATTAGCTCAGAGAACGTGCTGGATATTGATGTGGTTCCCGCGGCGAAGCGAGGTAAGGCAACTCGCCACAAACCGCATGGGGGGGTAGGAAAAAATGCACCTGGGCCCACCACCGCGCAACTCCTCCACGTGCGGGGTCAAGAAGAGGGTGGCGACGAGGAGGATGACGACGACGATGAGGAGGAGGAAGAGGAAGAGGATGATGTGGAAGAAGAGGAAAACGTGTTAAACCCCATGCGAACAAAACAGGTGCACGAAATCACTGTAGCGGCATCGGAATTCAGCTTCCTCAAGGTTGTGTGCCCCCTGAGAAATGCCCAACACTTCAGGCAATCTAAAATCAGCCCAGAAAATTTCTTCGAGTATGTGTACGTCATGGAAAAGGACTCCAGTAAAGACGAGCCAAGTGAAGCGGAGAAGGAAAAAATGGTCATGGAACTGGTTAAGGAGAAAATGAAAGATTCTTCACATAGCGGTGCAGATTCTGATGGGTCCAAGAGAAGAGAAAATGAAAAGGATAAAGACAAAAACGAAATGAAGGTCGATTACGACAGTATGGGCAATAAAATAATCGTTGCCCTAAAGACAGAAAGACCCAAAGCAACAATTGAAGATGTGGAAAATTTGAATCCTCTTAATTATGAGGAGGAAAAAGCAAAAAAGGATATTCTAACAATAAAGAATATAAATGACGTTATAGAATTTGTTAATTATGAAACAGAAGTAAGTGAAAATACATATGCTGGAACGATTTATTTTTCTCCACTTCTTCTAAGGGAAGCAAAATTTTTTATTTCCTGTGATAATTCATTAACCATGAACGAAAGTAGAAGAGGCAAAACTGGCATCGTTAAAGTTCTCGTGAAGCCAAACTATGTGAATATATTTGGGTGTGATTTTGTAGGGGATTACTCTACTCACTTTTCCTTTAGCCAGAGATGGGATGACGTTCCGAAGAATTATGTGTGTGAGGTACAAGTGGAAGATGACTCCATAGTTGGGTTGGCTTGTCCTTCACACACCAAGTTGCACCCCCCAGATTGCTTTGACAATGTCATTAAGGATAACGTGGTTCACAAAAAGGACTCGCTAATAGAAGCAGTGAATATGTTTATATACAAGGAGAGGAACAAACCCATTCTTTCTTTCATCCAAGTCAAGCGCGTTTTCGCGACCCACTTCTCCTGCAAGTGTTACGATTCCTCCAAGGGCGACTACAAAGAGGTCACCATCAAAATCAGCTACGAGCCCTACGTCATGGGCACGCCCAGAAAGAGCCTCGGCGCCGCGGTCATCCAGTACAGCGACGTGGACCTCAAGTTGCCCTCGCTGCGTTAGCGCCACGTCTATTATTTCGCGGCAAATACGCTCCTTAGCGGCAAGGCTGTTCTGTTTAGCGGCAAATACGCTCCTTAGCGACGAGGCTGCTCTCTTTTTAATCTTTTTTAAAAAATACGAAACTTTTCTTTGTCTTTTCCTTTTGCGCCTTTTTTTGTTGACAGCGTTTGCTCTCATTTTGCATCTGTTCTCCTCACTTTGCATCTTCGCCCAAACCATTTTTTTTTTTTTTTTTTTTTTTTTTTTTTTTTTCAACTACCACCACTACATCGGAGTAAACAGCGTCTAATTCTTTGCGTCCAAAATGAATTGCGCCCTGGTGAGCGATGGGGGAGAAAGAGAGAGGGAGACTTACCACGCCGAGGACCTCATCGCGAGGTGGAAAAAAAAAAGAACCCCATCGTCGCATCAAAGCAAAGTGAAAATTGATACTCTGGTGAAAAACATATTGAACTATAACCACCAAAAAAAGGGGTCCACATATAAAAATCACACATAGTGATTCTTCTTTTCTGCTTCTCATTAGGAGGGGGAAATACTCATGAGTGTGATCCCTTTTACCATTTGTAAAAGACCACTGGGTGTGGGGGAAATGTCCCTTCCCTTGTGCATTCGCGAGCCCTCCTTTTGCCTCTGTGTGTCTTTGTGTCTCCATTCTCAAAATGTAGAAAAGCCCAGAAGGGACACTATAAATCAACACACACACAAACGTAGTAATTAAAAGCGAAGGGAGGAACCCCTAGACAAGCCAAAAAAAAAAAAAAAA